GGGGAGTAACCGAGTGGCGAGCGATGTGTCGAGGCTGCAGACGCTAACTCTTTAGTGTAGAAGGGGCAATACGGTGGACTTGTAGGTAATTGCGGGTATGGGTTGTAGCTAATGGGATAGAACGAAGGGAAGTTGTAGTCAGGCGTGAGTATGGGAGGCATGTTGCGCGATGAACGGGCTGTCTGGTGGATGCGATATAGGAACAAAAGAGGCTGGTTGTTGTTGTGGCTTCTGGGGGGAGAGTGAACTGGAGAACTAGTCATCGGAGATTTGTAACCGTTTGCAGCCCGCTGGGTCTGCAAAGAGGTAGATTTTTGCGACAAACTACTTGCTTTTCGAGGCAATTTAGTTTCTAACCACTTTTGACAGATTTCGTCGACAGTAGGTTCTGGTAGTTGCTGGACAGGCGGTGCGCGCCGGGGGTTTTGGTGGCTTCGGTGCTCCAGGTCTCGTAAGTTAACCGCCAAAGTAGGATCCCCTTCATCGAAACTGTAGTCCCCGTTACCACGGCCTTTGGGCTGGTTTCGTAGCCAGTAGTTACATATCACGTCGAGGTCTGGATCTGGCAGCTGTTGAACAGGAGGCGCGCGGTTGAATTGCGTGAGGGCTCGCGTCGATTTCCTTGTGAGAGACCGAGACGATGCCTCGCTATTCTGGCTATAATCGCCCTGCAACAATAAACGTCATGACAAACACTGGAAGGAGATGAACAACCTAAAGTACTTTTTCCTTATAAAAATATAAAGATGAAAGTACCAAAAATTAATAAATGTTTTTCAAAATCGCAGAGCTTTGAAACAGACGAGATTGACAAGGGTTTCTTAAATTTAGAAAAAAATACCACGTATGGTTTAGGCGGTAGTGTTGTTCACAAACACGGGACGGACGGACGGACAGACGGACGGACACAAAGTTACAGATACAAGGACGGACGTACTTTTAAAAAACACTTAACTTGCTCTATACGTACGTATACGATAAAGTAAAAACACTTGTCAGACGACAGAGATTTCTATCAATCAAACTAATTTATTAGTAGACTAAATGAAAAAACCAAACCAAGAAATATCAAAACCTGCTAGTTCTGTAAAGTCATTTGCCTTTGAATTTAAATCCCTTTTTAATTATTCCACGTTGGAGTTTTCATGTGAATTTATTTTTTGTGAACGCTTGCGCCTTCCTATATCAGTGCCGAAATGTCCGTAACTCGCAACAGAGTTCCGAATGTAAGGAGGGAGAGAGAAATAAAATAATTAGCCTAATACGATTTCCCTCCGTATTTCTTTCCACATTTTGCTTCATAAACTCCAATTGCCATCGCAACGTTAATGCATTTGATAGAGTAAGTCCTGGTGGAAGACAGAAAAAAGTGGAAATGATCACCGACTGCGGAGGTTCAGAGTATTAACTAAAGTGATTGTAGTGGCCCTAACCGGTTGGCTCTAGGCTTCACGTGGCAGGATGTTTGACGCTGGCCTCACAGAAAAGTCGCATCCAGCCGCTGTCTGGACGAGAGTTGTTGCGGTGGTTACTCTGCCCGGTACTTTTCCATGGTTTCTCCTATCAACACCGGGCGAATGCGGGAGCTGCATCGTAATAAACTTGCCACTGTCTCCGCGCGATGTTTCATTCCTAGTCCTGTCCTCACACCTTATTTACACGCATACTGGCACGGCCTACACATGTCCAAGACCAGTCGGGAGCATCAAGCATGATCCGGTCGGGCGGTGGCCTGCTGCAGGGAGAACTCTGTTGGGAAAACTCCAGGAAACCGCCGTGTACGTCAGTGGTGGATTTCACCATCCAGTAGGGAAACCTGATACCTCGTCTGATAAAAGCATGCAATGGATTTATGACCATAGTGTGTACCGACTCGGCGCGTTTTCCGTTGTCGCGGAAGGCCTCGCGTTCCGCTGCCCTCAGATCAGAGAAGCCCACAAATGAGTTAACGCCTAGTGCGTAGTCGAATGTGCGGGACGCAAGGGGGAGCCGGCTGCTGGCCGGATGAGAGCCCCAGGGGTGTCCGTTCGTACCTCTGAGATGGCGTCTGCGTCCTCCTGGGAGTCGGGGGCCGACGCGCTGCCGCTGTCGCTCGCGCTGTCGCTGTCGCTGTCCAGCCCCGACGAGTCGACAACGGAGGGCTCGGCCGCCTGGTGCGCTCTCTCCGCCGACTCGCCCTTCTTCGAGTGGAACGCGTGGTCCGTGTACACGCTGCTGGCGCGCATGCTCAAGTGAGGTGGAATCACCAGCCCGTCCACCACTCTGCAAAACAATACGAACTCATCAACACATTGCTAGATTTTCACCAAATGGGTAACCTCTTGCCTATCACTCGTACTTAGTTTGTCACTATTAACATTTTTGATGCCATAGCTCAGCCGGTTAGACCATCCGTTTGGGCAACAGGACATGGACTGAATTTCCGATGTGATCAAAATTTGTATTTCTTGATTTATCATTGTCTGTTGTTCTCAACTAATACTGGATAACTAATAGAATGTCACACAACGAAAGGGATTGCATTCTCGAAAATGTCTTACTGAACACTTGTGAAAAGTTTTACACTGAAAGAACTACATACAACAATCCCATATAATTCCAGAATTTTCTACTAGAGATATAAAACTTCAAAAAGCGAACATAATGATTGTTCAGAGAAGTAAGTGAGATGGATGGGCTGCATTGGTGTGATACAATTAATCGAATCTTTATTTTAGATATAGCAATACATATTGCATTCTAGACATTTATTTCTAATCTATTTTTCCCTTGATTGCCGCCAAGGCTGAAAATCCCGCATGCCCTCTGATACTGACGCGCCTTACAACTTCATTAATATATTGATTGTCCCGTAAGTGTAGTGCACAGTTTTGCTCGGGGGGTGGCGGTGTTTTTAGCCCTACTGCATGGCGAGATCCGGCGCCGACCTACCATCAGCTAGAGGAGTTTTCCCCGACCAGGTATCTCCCACCATCGGGGGACCACCCCAGCCGAGACAAGCTCTGTGCTCCCGACCGGTCTCCCGGCATGTGTGCCCGGTAGTGTAGTACATGTTACAGTAAGTGTGTGTGTGTAAGGGGTTAGGATAGGACAAAAGGAAGGTAAGATTCGCGCGTGGACTGTTTGTTATGGTCCTGCTCCGGCATTCGCCTGGTGTTGATCGGAGAAATCACGGAAAACTACCGATCAGAGCAGCCAGCGGCTAGAATTCTCCAGGCAGCGACCTCTCTGACAAGTCAGTGCCGAAAATCCTGCCATCGTTGGGACTCGAACCTAGGACCTCCTGGTCAGAGGGACTCCATTGGCATCAGTTGATGGCCTGATCCATATCTCCCGGTCCTCACAGTTTTAATAACACTGATTTAAGCCTATATATTTCTGCTTTTATTGGATTACATCACTTCATTCCTTATTCTCTATTTCGATGTCTCCAATGATTTTCAAACTTTGTTCGGTCTACATTCGTATATTTGTTCTATTCTTCGTATTTTTAAGGTTTTTGAGAAGCATTAATGTAATCTGGCTACAGGGACTCTTATACGCGCTTCGATATTTATTTATAATAGCTCAATTCATTTTGTCTTCCTCTATCCTCGAACCAATTCTGCTCAACAAAAAAATCATGCACTTAGAAGGACCTTTTCCGTTTGAATTTGTCGAACTTATCTTCATATTAAAGTATATGAAAATAATTTCCTGAACAAGTGATATTCATCTTACGTAAAGCCTTTTAACCTTAATTGCAATAGTTAAATGCAGCTATAACAGTTAACAGTTATAGTTTCTCTGTCATATTATATACTCAGGTTGTAATATCCTTCCTTATTTCACCTTTTGAAACGTAACATTTGCGGAAATTGAATTATTTTGAAAGGGGGACTGATTTTGTGTTGTTCAGTGGGTACAACAGTAATTAATTACGGAACAAAACAGGTAGGGTTACACGAAAAGAGTACAGACTGTAAATAAAGAGACTACCTAACATACCTCAAAACTTTTTGTGGCGACATCTGTAAAAGAAAGTTGGAAACAAAATATCGTTAATGTTTCTAAAATGTTCGAAACTTTCAATCTACTTAACTAACAATGGCAGTAGGCCGTCAACGTTTCTTCCTACATTTAATGTATCAGGCTATAGTGTAGTCAGAACCGACAGATCAAATGCAAACGAAGGTGGTGTACTAATACTAATAGAAAAATCCATACCATTTATTAAAGTCAACCTTCCACACACTCCA